CCTTGGTTTGACTACACCTCACTAAATTGGAACTATATAATAATCTGCAATCTCTTGTAAGGACTAAATCGACTGTAACAATTGTGAATAAACCTAATCACTTCATAAAAAAAAACATTTCTGTTATACAGCATCACATGTGATAAATCTCATGTTGGTGACAATTAGGCATTATACTTGTTTACTATATCATTCAAAGGAAAAGGGTACTACATATAATTATTTAATAATAGGAAATACTTCAGCTTCCAATACTGCTCAATTATTTCACAAGTAATCATTCACACTATCACAAAAATCAAATTTTATCAAAATTATTAGACGCTTTACAAACAGGCTAATGAAGCTGAGAAAGATAAGTTTTGAAGATTACGAAAACATAATCATAACAACCAAAAACATCAATCTATAAAGTAATAAGTATATATAATATAAATAATTTACTAAGAATAATCTTTTAACATATATTATATCTTCATAGAAAATGTCTATTTATATATAATTGTAATGGCATCGAAATGGAAGAAATTATAAAATATGTACTGAGAATTCCAAAGTAAATCACTGTCAGAGGTGATTTTAAGTGGGGGGCATACTGATCATAGTGCCTCCTTAACAGAAAAAATATCAGTTTTGGGCAAATTTTGGTCAACAAATTTTTCGCCTCAGACCCTATTCTCATAGCTTGTTTTATCATTATAGACATTAATGCCCCCATCCTCTTTCCTAAAACCATAGATCCCCCCCTGCATATCACATGCATATTTTTTCAGTATATTTTTTAAACACATTATATAGTATATTCTAAAAGTATATATAAGTGACCCTACTAAGTATTAGTCATGAGCAAATGTCCTTATTAGTTTTGGTCAAACTTTGATTTTTTTTCTTTGTTCGAATGTCAAAATTTATAAAAATATTCACTAGGTATACCTAAAACATTGCACTATTTCCGTCTCAAAGTTTCCCTCCAGTCACAAAAATTAGATCTAACCTAAACAATATCATTAAACCCCATTGAAGAAAGAACAAACTGACTCAACGCCAAAGTGACAAATATATTCTTTTTTAACCAAAACAGGATTATGATATGGTACAATACCATTAAAGAAGCTTAACAATTTCGGGGGATTAAATGTTAGATTAGTGACCTTTACAGTTAGAATAAATGTATAGTTTCTTAAAATATTTACTCTGCATTATAAACAGTTTAAAACAGTTTAATAATTTAACATTTTATTCTGAGATAACAGTAAACTTTCTAACGTGATCGTCAAAACTTTCCCCACAAAAACAATGATTGCACACCTCACGATTTAAATATTTTCATGAAAAACTCTCTTGAATAATATTTTTTCTCATAAACAAACAGATTATAATGTGTAATTTACTATAATTCACTGAGAATGATAGATGTTGTTACATTATTTAACAGTCTAGTAACAAAGAAATCGTCACAAGTTCTAATGGTCGAACAAAAACAAAAATTACTGATAAATTTGTTTTTTTTTGCAAATGGGATAAAGATAAATGGAAGAAAATTATTGATACCACTCGAAAGGCCTCTGGAAATTTGGAACTATTTGCATAGTAATACCAACACTGATGCAAGATCGAAAACATTAAGTTACATTCTATAAGATAAAATTGAGAATGAAAATGGGGAATGTGTCAAAGAGACAACAACCCGACCAAAGAGCAGAAAACAGCCCAAGGCCACCAATGGGTCTTCAACACAGCGAGAAAATTCCGCCCCCGGAGGCGTGATTCAGGTGGCCCCTAAACAAAAATGTGTTCCAGTTCAGTGATAATGGATGTAATACTAAACTCCAAAACATATAAATGAACTAAAATTAAAAATCATACAAAGAGACAGACTATAAATTACCACTTGTTAAATTTTCTGGACAATTTTCTCTTTTTTTTTTTTCGTCTTTTCATACCTTTTGATTTTTTTCTTTCATTTGTCAGGTCCTAATTTGTCAATTCATCCACACTTATCCTTTAGTTTATTTTTTTCAAGCAATGAGGTAAGAATATATACTGTGTTATTTATCAATGATAATATGTTTAATATTTATGCGAGTGCTGGGTCAGTACTTGAAGCCTGAGTGAAACAGGGCAGTATTATAAATTTATATATTGTTGATTTTGCTCTGTATCAAATATCATGAAATGAACATTTAAATATTTTAATGGACTTAAGTTAGTGAATACATAGTTGATTATCTTTGGTCCATGTTTACAAATACTTAAATAGCTGTCTTAAACCCTATCATCAAATACACTTTATTTTATATGTCTGGCCAAACATCTAATACACAAGAAAATTAGCTTTTAAAATTCCAAAAGTTTCTATTTCAAAAGGAGAAAAATCTTGTATCTATTTACTTGTATACATAATGTTAAACATTGTTTTATCACCATAATTATGCAAAATTATAATATTTAATTGATTCTTTATATTTAAAACAAAGACTTTTAGAATATGTAATAGCGTACCTTTCAGGTGAAATTGATTTATGAAGTAATAAAATAATTCATTTCATTTCGTCAGCATGTTTCTGTGGTTTTTGATGTTACATGTTGCAAGTTGTCACCAACAAACGTTAACAAACCTTAACATATATCTGAACATCATTAATTATGGCTAATAAACTGCAAAAAATATTAATGTTTCCTTCTAATACACGATGATGAGCCATTACAGAACCCTAAACTGTATTTAATGTATATTTCTATTTGGACAAAAATTGTTGAATGTTCTAGTTGTGGGGTTTTTAAGGTAGATTAGTGACTAAAATCTAATTCATTTATCATTCATTATAGTTAATTATACTTTTCTGAAAAGCAGTAAAAAGTTAAGTACCAGTACATTCAAAATTGAATTTTTAAAATACAGGATACTGTATTTTTCATTAAATGTATACATCATATTGGAGAAACCCAGTTCTTGGTGAATTTCTAATCTAAAATATGAATAAAAGGAGACGTTGGTATACTGTCAATGTGAAAACACAGACAGCAACCTAAAATCACTTTAATATAAATATTTAATAAGGAAGTAAAATGTTAACTTGGTATATATCCATTATTGTTTGTATATATATATTTCATAATGCAGTGTAAAACAGACAAATCTGCAGTAAAATTCTCTACAATTGTCTCCCCTGAGATTGATACTTATATGTATTAGCATCAATTTAATGAATATGTGTACAAGTTTTAGAAAAAAAATTAGCATATGAACTATCTATGATAAAGTTGGAAGATATGGGGGTGTATACCAATAATTCAGGAAGCCAACAACATGACCATGGTTTGATTTTCATTTTGAGAAGTGAAGTTAAAGACCACAGGAATAATTGACATTCAAATTAATAAACGTTCAAAATAACTCTTATTTTAAAAAGTTATTAACGGTACAGACAGCTCATGCATTTTTTTTTTTTTTTCAAATTTAATCTAGAACTTAATCTTATATTTTATACTGACATTTTTTTATTATCAGGAAGTTTTACTGCAAAAAACAAATATGTCCAGCTGTTTAAGTTGACTTCAATCTAACATTTAAAACCTGTTAGGTAAGACAAAGATTTATAATATGTTATATCTGGTTAAATTACAGGTATTTGATCTACCAAACATGCTTATACATTTGTTAACACATATCTTATTTCTACTACCCTGCTTAATTCACACTTTGAATTAAATACTGTCCCTTATATTTAAGCTCAGCCGTGTTGAACATTGCTGCACTTAGAACTAAAGTAAAGTTTAAATAGATGAATAGGGAGCAAGGTTTTGGGCACAATCTAAAAGTGAATATTCAGCAGCGATAAGCATATGTTTGACATTTTTAACCATTTATTATATCAATAATTGTCCATTAAAACATAAAAATTAACTTTTAACACCAGCAGTGTCTAGTACAGCAGTGTTTTGTTTGAAATCAACTTCACTACAGGGTTGTGGCACATTGAACTATGACAAAGTGTTTTGACTTGTATCTGCCAAATGTCAGCGCAGCAATCATAATAATCATATATAATATATTTTTAGAAATGATCAATAATACTGTGTATTCTGTGGGAATTTTTTCAAAGAAACAGAAAAGATCACAGAACAATGTATGAAGTGGCAATTTCCCCATGTTTTCTCTTCATTTTCTTTTATCTGAATTACAAAACATTTTCCAGACTTCTAAAATCAGCTTAAGGTAAATAAAAGATTCCAGATTGGTAAACAATTTAATTCTTACTAAATAATTAATCTATTTTATATTACATAACTGGATTATAGCCAATAAATTCACTTGATTTCTTTCCCTAATTTCACATGATGAAAGTATTACAAATAATTGTGTCCAATTCATGAATTGGTTAATTGAAAGATTTCAACACCTATTGTTATAAAAAGAATATGACTAATATCAATAAATAATAATATATTTAATTTAGGGATATTTTTGCATGCACATTTATAAAATTGTTCAATTTATAAATTATAATTAACAATTCAATTTAATTATAATTAACAATTTAATATAATTATGGCATGAAATAAATTTGAATATGCTAATTTTCAGACTTTGAAGTCAAAGTCAATGTGAAAGCCAAGATTTTTAAAAGTAAAAGAAATTCAAAACTTTTTGGTTGAAAATAGTTTTATGTTTTATGTTTATTCATCTGTATAATACAGATTTTATCTCTATCAAAACCAAGGTAAAACTCACCTTTAATATAAACTAAAGCTTTCAACATTTTTGTAAAACTGACATAAATAAAAAATATAAATGGCACACCTTGCATGCATTTTAAAATCCGTCTTTTATTTTCAAGATATGACATCTAGTTTTTTTTCCCATAATTTGTTAAGGTACAAGCAAAACGTTTGTTTACAGCAGAGTAGAAGTAGACAAGTATTGAAGTAAACATATAAAAATAACTTTCTATATCTATTGAAAACCATACATCAAAATATACAAATCAAGTACTCACAGGGAGTTTGTTTGGTTCCAGTATAGATAATATGTTTGGACTCTTTGATTCGAGTGCACCTTTTGAAACATAAGAAAAATTCCAGTTGCCACTATCACAGAATATACGTTTGTTAATTTCCACGACATTTTGAATGAAACTTGCTAAATAAATTCTCCAAACTTCACAAACAGCTAATATATACACTCAATTTATGTTTTGGGTCACTGTCAACTCATATTTTCACGTAATTCCAAACTTATTGATATTTTTTATCCCCATCTTTCAGTTCTCATCTTTCTTGCTGTCACTCAAATGTTTTACCAGTATATCACGTGGGAATATACCTCTCTATGGGAGGCAACTCTTGGAGTTTTTCACCTGTCAACTTCTTTAAATATATCATATGCTATTGGTTATTTAACAATGCATTCCAATGACTGACTTCATAGCTGAATAACTTTTAATGAATATTATAATACACCTTGCGTTAAGTCTATTAGTCCACTTATGTCTTACACAAATGTGTGTCTCTTTGTGTGTGTAGTAAATTTAATTACTTTAATACAAACGAGTTTCTTCCTTGAAAAAAGGAAATATAGCTTACGAAGAAGGATTTTTACAAAGAAGACATGTTTTTCAATGTCTTGTCTTGTTAATGTTTGTTTTATCTTTTCTAGTCGGAAAGCGTGCTGTTTAATCTAATAAAACAAAAGTTAACATCTAACTAAATTGGTGATGTTTCCTGTCATATCGAGTTAAACATTACATCAAATCACTTTTATGTTGGGGGTTCCACATTTAAGCATTTGACATTATGTTTAACTAAGTTTATCCAGTATTTTCATTATTTACTTTGAAAATCCTCGGGATGAAATGTACAAGTTTCGATAGATCAGTGACGTAGCTTGAGCCTTATTTCTAGTGAGGCAAATTATATCAAAAGGATTGGAACTCATGATGAATCTTACTTGTTCGAGGGCAAAACTATGGTTAGGCAGTTGACTCACTGCCTTAATAGAAGCTACTCCATTGTGACTAAGCTTATGTCTATATTCGAACTAACTAGCTTAACACCCATCTGGCAAAACAATCGGATGAATATACAAATATAACATGTAATATAGCTCACTCATTTCGCTTTGGTTCCAGTGGAGGATTCAAAAGGGGCTGGCGTACGTCATTTGATTGGAAAATGTATCATTTCTTTAGCATAAAATCGGCCAAAAATATACAGTTTTCTGGAATTACGAACCCTACCTTTATACAATACTGTGTTGTTGTTGATGATAGATCCATCCAGGGAGAATCTTATCGACATAGCAAGACGCTTTCATTAAAGACCTGTCTTAAACAATAAACGATTGCCTCTCAAGGAGACCATAAGCGTTCATGAAGTTTTCAGCTTTGAATAAACGCAATTTAAGTATACTGCTTTGCCCGAGGTCTTATATAATATTTTTGGTTGTATTTGTTTTTTTCTTGACTGATTATAATTTCAACACATATAAACATATAGCTGGACGCATAGCTAAACAATTAAACGGCAGATAAATTGCAGTGGCGTATCTCCCGTTGAGGTATTCGGGCAACTATCCGACCAACATTTTACCAAGAACAAATAAATATAAAAGAAAAATGAGGTATAAAATGTATTGTATAGTAAAGTTGTATAGTACGATTATCCCAAACATTTTACTGCTCTGCACTTTATAATACACATATTCCATATTACTAATATATAGACAGAGTAAAAGAATTCGCTCCTTTTGTTTCGTGAAAATTGCCAACGTAGATGCAAATGTCATCTTTAAGATAATGGAGAAGTTATACTTTGTAAGAAAAGTCTCCGTTTTAAAAAAAAGCGATACATGATGCTTAATTCATTTTTGTTTTATCGACAACGCATTTGTTACGTTTGATAGATGTTTTTTAACAGACAGTGGACATGCCTAAGGGAACCAACTGCGCTCCTCTTACCAACACGTTTCTTTGTTCATATAAGACAGACTTCATAGTTAATCTAGTTTTAATATATCCGTATTTCCAGAAAAGTGAATATATTTTGGACGGTGTTATGCTAAATTGTTTTATTTATTTTTCAATCTAACCCTGAATCCGTCACTAGAGAGAATGCGAGACAACACAACACTTACAATTTCAAGATGGAACTCATGATTCCAACTATCAGTAATTGATTATGTAATAATGTTAAACTTTTCTTTGTCAATGAATAGTTATATACAATCAAATAAATACCTATAGTAGTATTTATTAGGTAAATAAGTAAACTTACTGTCATGGGATTACAAGCCATTTTAGCCAAACGTAATAGGTAGAGAGTAAACTTACTAGAGGACTGGCAAATAAACTAAAACGACCAGTAATTTAAATAGAAAGACTAGTAATTTTAACTAGAAAGACGTGAGAATTAAGAAATGTACTCGTTAGAATTTCTCCTTTGCTATATATAGGTTAGCTAGTATATTCATTGGGCATTTCTGTGTACAACTGCATAAAGGTAATCATTCGTGATTATCAACACGATATAACAAAACTACTTCAACGATGGACTGGGCTTATAGAAGTATGGTAACCTGGATTTTTCCCGTCCAACAGGTATACCTGTGCATGCTTATAGGAAGCAAGGATTTGAATACAAATACAAATCCTTGACGAAAGGCGTCTGTTTTTCTTTGCGGGATGTACCAATATGTAGACCCGTCCGGTCGCAATAAAAACGTTAAATCGGATGCCTTGTGTACGGAGAGTCATGAATACGCTCTCTTCGTAATAAAGAACATTACACCAACTACTTCAGGGATTCATAGGAGGCATGGTTTCAGCCCCTCCCTTACAAGCCCTCTTTCAACTGCAGTCGAAAATCCTGCCCTGAAATTCATCCTGGTAACCACAATTTGCAAAACATATATCTATAGACTATTGTTAATTTTTTTCTCGTTCTAAATATATGCATAAACAGTGTTCAATGTAGATTCAGCAAGCAGCAATCGAATCAAACCTGCAAAAAGAGTGCCTTTTCAATCATCTCATCAAAACCAAAGGTAGATCAAATTTAAATTAATTGTACTTGGGTCTTCATCTTTGTATTATCACAATTAAGGAAATGTCATACATTAGGAAAAGAACAACTCGACTGCACAAAGACCGCAATTTTTATAAGATTTAGTGGTCTTTTATTATACTGATATTTTACTTATTCCCGTAATATTCCTATGAGAATGTACGTAATTATTATTTTATTTTGGGGTTTTATATCGACAGATTTCCTTAATTATTACTTCGCTGTTCCAAGCAAGGCAACAAAATATAATACGCAGATTAAAGTTATATGTGACACAACACCACTGATGATGATAGTTTTTATCTCAGAATGCCCTGCCCGGATGGACCAAAAGGCTTTTAATCAGCTACTGAGTTTATTTTTGAAATCATTTTGAGAGAGAGAAAAAGGGAAAACAAGATGGTGAAAATAAAACATATTTTGATTTTTTTTTTGTTTTAAAACACTAGTCATTTGCAGGGTTGTTTTGCACTTAATTGAAATCAAATATAGCCCGAATCCACAGGCACTTGTCTCTAAACAAAATCCTAGGTATATACGAAAATAAATTGTAGAGACAAGTCCCTGAACCTTAATCAGAGGGAATTCTTGGAAGTCTCATTCTTTTGGATTTTGAAATCTATTATTTCCATTGAAGTTTGATTTAACATTCTTATTCTATCATATATTCATGAGAATCGATATTATGACATACTAGCTTTCTGTGTATCAATTAAAAAAAAACGTATTTAATTTTTGTTTACAAAATCTTGATAGTCCTTCCAAACAATCAAATGTAATTTGTATACTACTTGCTTTAAAACCCAGATCAACACTATATTATATCTTAATAACTATTTCTTATGATAAACCTTTTGCCGAAAATCGTTGTATTATGTTCAAGTTTAGTTTAGACATAATTTATTTACAGAAGTAGCAATAGGGATTGAGCACAAGTTATAACAAAATTAGTGACGTCCTCTCCTAATTATGTTTTATTTAGTTCTAAAGGGACTTTTGACATATAAATGCCAGCAAAGCTCATCTTTTGTCGATTTTTTTTTAAAGATTCTTGCAATACATATAGCAGTGTTGCCACATTATGATCGTGCCTTGTGTTGAAAAGGGGATGTCTTTCTAAAGATTATTTTGAATTTTCCATTCGGAAAGAAACGCTTTATCATATTGTTTGTGTATAATGTATTGTTTTATATGAGGTTCTTATCTCTGGCTTTGTTTATATAAGATGACCAAAAAATGATTGACTTTGACTCATACAAGGAGACGTAGATATTCCACAGAAATTTATTGAAGAGGTGTTTTAAGATATATCTACAAATGTCGATAGTTCTATACAAACAAAAGAACAACTTTTAATATTGCTTGAAAATTAATCATGAATTCAAGAGGGTAATTTCACCATCTGACAATTGAACTTAAATCACGTTATGCAGTTTGCAGTTGGTTTCGGGTTTATGACTTAAATCCCGTGGAATGCACACGAATCACATGTTTGACTTAACTATGAATTGTCAAATTTAAAATGTTTGTAGTTTGTGTTTTTAATGTGTCATACTTTGATTGAAATATGAATTTATTATCTGTAATAATCACTTGAGGGATAATAAAATCTTGGTTATAGCATGTACCTATTTGAATGCATACTAACTTAACACTCCGTCTGAATAAAGACCAAATTAAATTAGTCACTAATATAAAAACCCATATGGCAATTAGAATCCCACGATATTTTCGCGGTACAGACATTAGGACTCTCGGTGGTGGTTTTAAAACCAAGTCCAACAAATACAATGAGCCCTGGAGACGAGCCATCATGCAGTGGTATAACTGGACTTTTGTGTCTTCAGATATATAAATATAGACCAGAAAATTATCACGATTACTCCTAGTATACTAGATATTTTGTCACTGGCAGTTATTCACCGAACGTCCTTTGTGGTCAGTCGGGCACTATAGTACTGTCAACTTTTATTTGTTCATTCTAAAGAAGTTCCCCTGGACACTTTGTTATAAACAATGCCATAATATCTATTCCTGTTGGAACAAATATTCTATAGCCTTTAATCCGTTTGGAACAAATACTGTAATATATTTCCAGTGAAATAGTATTCCAGAATATTTCTTCCATTTGGAAGAGAGGCGAAAAATACCAAAGGGATTCATAAGTCGAAAATGAACTAACAACGCCATGGCAACAAAAGAAAATGACAAAGGGACAAACAACAATACAAGAAACACAACATAGAAAACTAAAGACCGAGCAACAAGAACCCCACCAAA